GACATAAAATAAAGACATGAATGTAAATAACTGAAAATAAATGACGGAAAGTAAAGACGGAAAATAAATACGGAAAGTAAATGACAATAAAGAAATAAATAAAAGACGAAATGTAAATAACAATAATTAAAAACTTGTAAATACTAATAATAATTTGAGAGTGTTTGTAGGAGTACAAGGTGGAACAAAAATCGTCCAGGAGATGTGTGAAAAAGAGAAGCCAAAGGCCTTCTTTTATACCCACAAAATGAAGAAAAGACAAAACAAATGAAAGGAAGTACAAAGTACATTTGAGTAGACTAGAAAAAGGAGATATCATCTCCATCAAAACAAGTCAACCAAAAAAAGTCTTCTTCACATCATTTCACCAGCTGCTAAGGRTCAAAACGAGGGCTTCTTCAGCTCAGACCTCCATCCAAGACAATGGCTTAACCAATAAGCACTTCTCCAAAAAGCCAAAATGCAGYCGGGCAATGYTGTTGGAATGTTGCAGCATTACAGTGCAGTGTTATGAGTCAAAAGATGTCATCTACTCCAAATTGTTGTAAAAACAAATTCATCATCACATTTAGCTCCCAACATAACAAATGGAAAATAAGGAAGTAAAAATGACTCAAGGTTGGGATAAACTATGAAAATCTACCTAATAAGCTTAAGAAATAGGTACTTTAAGCATGTAATAAACCATGCTTATCATACCCCCAAACTTAAAGTGTTGCTTTTCCCCAAGCAACCAAATGACAACTAAAAATGACTCAATATAGTAAGGTATACAAGATCAAGGCAGTAAGTGCACACATAAAGCAAAGCATATCATTTATGAACATCATAGCCCTTCATAAATTTTTAGCAAACCATTCATAGCCTACTTTTCATGTATGAACCATATGCTAGCACTAGTATTTTCTTTAATGAACTCAACACACCACTCCTTGCTAGGGTCAATAGGACTAGTTTAAGGCTCTCCTCTCTCACCTTGCCTTTTTTTTCACGTATGCTTCATCATTCAATTTTTTAAATTTTTGGCACTACGTGCTCTTTATGATGAAAGCATGCACATTGCCCCTATGGGACATTTTTGTGCTAAAAAAAATAGATTCCACAAAGGCTTTAGAGCTTTGCTCTTTTGTATTTGAAGTTGTGGCCTTTGTGGTATATCCTCCCCCAAACTTGGACTTTTGACAATGCCCTCATTGGCTATGTTGGTGGAAAGTGTATAAGGCTACAAGAGGCTTATTTTAGAGTTAAATGAAGAATGGCCTAAATCATACCCAAATGTGTATTGGTGTGTGAGTGGAATTTGGCATAAGAAAAGACATATGCTAGTTCTAGCAAGAACACCATTAGTAGGTGAATGGCTATTTACCCTTAAATTTATTTAGGCTATGATATCAAGAACTATAAGCAATGATCATGTAATCAAGTATGAAAATAAAGCTAAAAAGCAAGAAAACTATCCCAAGACTCAAAATAAAAATAAAATTTGGAAGCTAAAGATGAATGAATGAACATGTCCTACTCCAAGGGAGTAGGCTGTGTGGCTTGTGGCTCCATGGCTGTATCTCTAAGCTGCTCATTCTCTTCTCTTAGCCTCTTGTTTTCTTCTCTGAGGTTTTGCAGCTTCTTTCCCATCTTTTTCAACTTTCTGCCCACCATTTTCTTCATCTGGACCTTCAATTCTTTTAATTCTTTTTTCCCATGCCTCTGTCCCTTCTTGATCTGCTTCTTCACCTCTGCTTTCAGTTACTCCATCTTTGACAATGATTCCGATCTTTGCATCAAGATGTTGTCCAGCAGGGTGTTGTTTTGAGACAGCAAGTCTTGAATCATTCCCATCAAGTCAACTTCTCCCATGCTTCTGCTAGTCCTCTCCTTCAGCCTTGACACAGCCTTTAGGTCTATGATAGACCTTTCTTCTCCTTCCTTGATGATGACATCCTCTTTGAAAACTGGCACTCCTTCACTCTTCAACAACCTGTCAATGACTCCAGGGAGATACAACTTCCCTTGGGTCCTGTTAGCACAATACACAATAGCCTTGTGCAATATCTCTCCCACATTAATGGTTTTCCCCTTGAGAATGCAGTATAGCAGGACCATCCTTTCAACATTAAGGGAGCTGTCATGGGTTGTGGGATGCAGGGAGTGCTTGACAAAATTGACCCATACATTAGTATTGGGGGTCAAATTGGCAGCTTTGAAGACCCTTAAAGAAAAGTTTGTATGATGTTCCCATGTGGTGCCTGGTCTTGCCACTGCCTCACATATTTTATTGAGCTTAATCTCAGAGGCAGTGTGCTTAAGGGTCTTAAAGTCTGAATTAAAGTGAGTGGTGAGACCTAAGACATTGTTCAATGTCTCATCATCAAAGGATAGGCAAACACCTCTAACCTTGATCATACATGACTTACTAGCAGCAACCTCAGCATAGAATTCTCTAATAAGTGAGAGGTTGTAAGAACTATGTACCTTACAGAAGCTTTGCCATCCTAAACTACTAATCACCTCTTTGATAAACGGGCACTCTTCCACACTCTTGTGATCAAAACCTTTGTTGGGCCAAGCAGTCTTGTCCTTGAATTTCTCAAACAGAGCCTTGGCCTTGACAGAACTGAAGCCTTCCAAAGGTAGCATGGATCTTTCTGTGATTGTTGGAGTGGAAGAAGTAGGAGTAGGCTGTTCTTTGGATGCTGCAGCATTCTGTGATTGCCTTGTGATTCTTCTAGGAGAGTCCTCTAAGGCTGCTGCCTTGCCTTTTTCAACAGCACTAGCCTTCTTCTTTTTGAGTGCAGGCCCTGTGGTGTGAGTAGTTTTCTTGGCTGACTTCTTTCCCAAAGCCTTCCTCTTCTTAGATGGAGGCTTCACATGAGTGGGACAAGGAGAGGCCAGTGTTTCAGCAGCCTCTAACAACACATCCATTGATGTCTGTTCCACAGTGCTCTGTTTGGAATGATCAATCCCCATTTTGGCCAGGAAATCATCAATGACCTCAAAGTCCTTGCTTTGAGGTGTGGCCTCAACAAACTCTTGAATGGGGGCATGGGTGGTTTGATCATTCCAAGGAAGCAAGTACACCCTTCCTAAGTCCTCTGCCCTAGCAACATCATCCTCAGACTCAGATGAAATGTAGTCTTCTACAAGCACAGTAGGATTGAAAGTTACCTCAATGTCATGTTTTGATTCATCCACAGGAGGTTCATTGAGATCATGGATTTGAACTCTTCTTTGGCTTGACTCATGCACAGGGGATTCGGGCATTGTGGAAGACGAAGGGACAGCCGATTGTGGATGTGTAGGAACAGCCTCCTCTTCACTCATGGACAAAGAGTCACTGTTTTCACTTAGTTCTACCAACTCTAGTTTAGCATTTGAGGGTCGAACAGTGGTCCTCATACGGTTGCTCCTTCGAACAGGTCCCCTTGGTTGAGGTCGGGCAGCAGCTCTCTTTAGCCTAACCATGGTGGAAGATAACAAATGATGGAGTATGGAGATGGGAAAAAATGCAGAAAAGGGGTGGGGGTTTATGAAAGACAGTAGGTACGGTGGTGGTTTTAGGCCGGTGATGGGGAGAATAATGGAGGGAAGAGTGGGGGAGAGGGATTGAAAAGGTGGGTTAAGAAAAGGTGATAGCTTTAATGATGGTTTCTTAAGGGTACTTAGTGGGTTAAGAGGTTATCAGCCGACGGTTTTGTAAAAGGGGTACAAGATCACTAAAACAAAAACCTCCTCATTAATTGAGACAAAACCCTCCAAACCCAACCTATCATCTTGTGACCATTTTTTCTCTTTTTTCTTTGACTGAAAAGTGAGTGATGAGGGTGTAAGAGGTTGTAAGAGGTTGTGCAAGGTACCATGTACCTCCATGTACTACCTTGTACTATCCTAAGACTTTAACATTTGCTTAACCTTAACCCATCTTTCCTCCTTTTTTTCTTTTTCAAAAACCAGCGCCATTTTTCCCCAATACTTTAAAAACAATCTTTTTCAAGAAAAGTTTAAAAATAACAGCTCAACCCACTTTTTCCACTTCACAYAGAGCTGCAGGTCTAGAATGCTGCAGCATTATGAGCAGTTTACCAAACTCTTATTCAAAAACACAAAACCTTGAAAACTTTAAAACACAAACAACCTATGAAACTGAAATTTATTTACAAACAAAGGTGGACTTTTAAGAAGTCCAAGGGGGATCTTTCAGATTTTAGCAGGGAGCAACACAGCTCTCAGAGTGATGTTTTGAGACCGTTGCCGGATCATGGTACACTTTTACCCTTTGGCCATTAACCTTGAAAATAGAATTATCTTCCGGGTTTACCAAATCCACTGCTCCTTAAGGATAAACTTTAGAAATAAGAAAAGGCCCAGACCATCTGGACTTAAGTTTTCCAGGGAATAACTTCAGTCTAGAATTAAATAATAGCACAAGCTAGCCTTCTCTCAATTCTCTGTACTGGATTCTATTATCATGCCATTTCTTTGTCTTGCCCTTATAAAGTTTGGCATTCTCATAAGACAATAATCTATGTTCATCCAGTTCACACAGTTGTAACATCCTTTTCTTTCCGGCTTCTTTCAAAGACATATTGAGCTCTTTGATAGCCCAGTATGCTTTGTGCTCTAGCTCTAAAGGCAGATGGCAGGCTTTTCCATAGACTAGCTTGTATGGGGACATATCTATTGGTGTTTTAAAAGCAGTTATGTATGCCCGTAAAGCGTCGTCTAATTTAAATGCCCAATCCTTTCTATTGGGTTTTACAATTTTTTCCAAAATGCCTTTTATTTCCCTATTAGAGAGCTCAGCTAAGCCATTTGTTTGTGGATGATAAGTCATGGCAATTATGTGGTTAATATTATATTTTTCAAGAACTCCCTTTAACAAATTGTTTACAAAGTGGGTACCCTCGTCACTGATGAGTGCTCTCGGAGTACCGAACCGTGTGAAAATTTGTTTTTGAAGGAACTTAACCATAGTTTTTGCGTCATTTGACACACATGCCATGGCTTCTACCCACTTGGATACATAGTCAACAGCCACAAGAATGTATTGACAATTATTTGATGGGGGAAAGGACCCATAAAGTCTATTCCCCAAACGTCAAATAATTCAACTTCTAGTATCCCATTTAATGGCATTTCATTTCTCTTGGAAATGGAGCCACTTTTTTGACATTCGTTGCATCTTTGTGAAAAATTGTGGGAATCTTTAAAAAGTGTGGACAAATAGAAACCTGACTGTAGAACCTTGGTTGCAGTCCTCTGACCTCCAAAATGGCCTCTGTATGGTGCATGATGGCAATGATGTAAGATTGCTGCCACCTCAGATTCTGGTACACATCTTCTCAAAATCTGATCTGCACCAAGTCTAAACAGAAACGGGTCATCCCATAAATAAGATTTAGCATCATGAAAAAATTTCTTTAACATGTGACCTGTGTAATCAGAGGGTTTTATTCCACAGGCCAAAAAGTTAGCTAAATCAGCAAACCATGGTGTCTTAGGTTGGTTTATCATGAGGATTCTCTCATCTGGAAAAGTATCATTAATGTCCAATCCCTCTTTCTCAGGTTCTTCCAACCTAGACAAATGGTCTGCYACTTGATTCTCTATTCCCTTCCGATCAAGTATCTCTAAGTTAAATTCTTGCAACAAAAGCACCCATCTTATCAACCTTGGTTTTGCATCTTTCTTTGAGATCAGGTACTTGATGGCTGCATGATTAGTATGCACAATTATCTTTGTTCCCATCAAATAGAACCTAAATCTCTCAAAAGCAAAAACTATAGCCAATAATTCTTTCTCAGTTGTGGTGTAATTAATTTGTGCCTCATTCAAAATCTTACTTGCGTAGTAGATTGAATGAAACACTTTCTCCTTCCTTTGCCCTAACACAGCACCTACCGCCCAATCACTAGCGTCACACATGATCTCAAAAGGTTTGTTCCAGTCAGGGGCAACTACCACTGGTGCGGTAACCAAAGCTTTTTTCAAAGTTTTGAATGCATTTATGCATTCATCATTAAAGTTGAATTTTTGGTCATGCTGGAGGAGTAAACAAAGAGGTTTTGAAATTTTTGAAAACTCTTTGATAAACCTTCTATAAAATCCGGCATGACCCAAAAAGCTTCTGATTCCCTTAACCGTGGTAGGTTTGGGTAGTTTTTTAATTACCTCAAGCTTTGCCTTATCTACCTCAACCCCTCTTTTTGAAATCAAGTGCCCAAGAACAATGCCTTCTTTGACCATGAAGTGACATTTTTCCCAATTAATAACCAAGTCTGTTTCCTCACACCTTTCTAAACTCTTTTTCAAATTATTCAAACAATTGTCAAATGATGAACCATATACAGAAAAGTCATCCATAAATATTTTAATGGATTTTTCAAGCATATCAGAAAATATGGACATCATACATCTTTGAAAAGTGGCAGGAGCATTACATAGTCCGAATGG